ACTTTTCTCTTACTTATTGTATGCTTAAAAAGCACCATTTTTTTTTTCTACAGGGAGAGAAAAGGCTGCTCCTTCAGTTTTTATTTTTAATTTTGTTTAATATGGCTCCTTTTATTACTTTTAAAAAATATTTTATTTTATTTTTATTTTAAGTAGGCTCTATGCCCAACGTGGGGCTTGAACTCATGGTCCTGAGATAAAGATGCAGACGCTCCACTGACTGAGCCAGCCAGCCACCTCTAGCTCCTTTTAAGGATCAATTTGCTGTAAATGCTTAGTATCCATTTACTCAGTAAATATTTATTTTATATTTATTATCTGCCTATCATGTGCCATGTACTAGATTTGTTGCTGGGTATTCAGTGGTGATCAGAACAGAACTCATTCCTGCTTCTGTCTTCAGTAGAAGCTTCAGAGCTTCTACTTCAGTAGGGAAGACAGACGTTTAGATGAACACACACAATATTATGTATATAAAATATATAAGTAACATATATATTCTATATAAACATATATAAACAAAATGTAATAGTTAGGTGCAGTCAAAATAAGAGTCCTAGCCTGCAAATGAGATGACAGATCCTGGAGAACAGTACGATCATCAGGATGATAAGGCCTCTTGGAGAAATCCACCAACATTTATCTAGCATATGTCCCTGCATTGATTTTCCTATTTTATTTAATTTCCATAAATACCCACATCAAAAGTCAATGAGAAGATAGTAGGAAGGGAAAAATGAAGGGGGGGAATCAAAGAGGGAGACGAACCATGAGAGACTATGGACTCTGAGAAACAAACTGAGGGTTCTAGAGGGGAGGGGAGTGGGGGGATGGGTTAGCCCGTTGATGGGTATTAAGGAGGGCATGTATTGAATGGAGCACTGGGTGTTATACGCAAACAATGAATCATGGAACACTACATCAAAAACTAATGATGTAATGTATGGTGATTAACTAACATAATAAAATAAAATTAAAAAAAAGTCAATGAGAAGATCATATGATATAATGTGTGTACAGCATCCAACACTGTTAGATAAATGTTGGTCTCCTATCTGTTCTTCTGCAAATTATTCCAATTCTAACTTTAAAAGAACGTTTCCCATCTACCTTAATAAATAATTGTTTGAGCAAGTACCAGAGTGTGAAATTATGGTTGTAAGCCCAACGCAGAAGAAAGAAAAGAATGAGTCAAGTTTTTCTACCTAGAATAATAGGCAGTAGATCACTCCTACATGGAGCACATACATACTTTCTTTTTGTTAGAATTCTATTATGAGAGAGTGGCAGGAATAAAGGCATACCACACATAGAAGGAAATCAACTCAACAGCATTGAATTGAATGTCTGATAAACTGCAGTAAAGCAATTCTGCTTATAATTTATGGTAAAATCTAGATTAAAACTTATTTGAAAAATATGGAGGGAGCTTTTAATTTTCAGCTCATCATGTATTAAAAAACTGGAATCTATAAAAATGAAGAAAGAAGATATTGTATAGCTCTACTTCCACATTTTATGAATCTGACGTTCTTTATACTAATAAAAATAAAAGAGTAATAAAAGAAATGAGTTACTAAGCTAGTAAGTTATGCCACTATAATGAATGGTAATGGGGTATTTTGTTGGAGTTGAAGATCAATATGATTTATTACCAGATGCTCTACTGATAAAGCTGATAATGTAATAATCAGAGACGTGAAATTCACCTAGAGCTTCGCATATGTTGTGATCTCTACTTATAAATTTAATTTATTGTAGCTTTATCTGATACACCACCTCCTCAATACAGGCAAACCCGATGAGACATTATTATTTAGTATAACTTTTATGTTACTAAATTTCACGATAATACAAAATCTATAGAGCGTACAAAATAGAAGAAACGCTCTGTTGTAAAAAATGAAACAGACTACATGAGATAAACTACTTTATATGTCACACATTACTTTTGGTCTGTTATATCTACAACTCACTGTTCTTTTGTCAACCCACGGTGGTGTTTTTTTGTTTCCTATAATCAGGATTTGATCCACATACTTTTGTGTCCAGGACGATCGTGCTCCCACAGAGATCTTACTAACTCTCACACTCTCATCTCTGTCTCTAAACCCGTGTCTCTGACTACCTAATGATTGCAGCTTTCTGCATCTTTAAGTCAATCCAAGTCTGTCCTTTACAGTGACAACTGTCTTTTCAAAACACCCTTTCTCAGCCAAACGTGGACCCTTCCTTGCTCACTCTGGCCCTCTGTTGCTCTTACTTCTGTTGGGTTTCTCTTCTATCGCACTCCTTTCTCTTCACCATCTCATGGATTTAACCACCAACTTTTATTTCATAGTATTAATTACCCCAAAATCTTTGCCTCAAGTTCTTGTCTTGCTCCAGGTTACTATTGTCTATTATTTTACCACCCCTAAAAATCCCATTGGGATCTCAGGATTTCACACATTTTGTTCATCACCATCTTCTTTCCCAATTTTTGTCCTGTCCTTCAGCCTCTTCTATCCTATCCAATGATAAAACCACCAATTCCCCATCCCTAATACTTGAAATTCTGGCATCATCTTTGGTTCATTTTTCTCCATTAGTCCCTCATCTCACCAAATGCCAAATCCCATGTATTCTGTTCCTGTATTAACTACCATACCCACTTCTGCAGCATCATTCCTACTGCTACTTAGCTCCTGCTCTTAGGACATCTCCCCTCCATCAACAGGATAGCCACCTAAAGAGGCCTCAGGCCTGGCAGTCTGTCCTTTTGCCAACCACTGTCACACAGCGGTCAGACTAATCCTTGAAGATTCAGATGAAAACTCCTGTAATCGAATGCATTCCAAATAAAGACTTAGGGCCTTATACTATACGAGGCCCTCCATGAATTGGCTCCAACCTACCCTTCCAGTTTTATCTTCCTGCACTCGCTCGGGTTCCAAAAGCCACACTGAGCTCCTGTTTGGTTGTGTCTTGCATTTGCATTCTTATTGCCAATGCCTCTGATATTCTATTCATTTTGAAAGCCCTTTCCTCATTTCTGCATTTCCATTCCCTGTATCCTTTAAGGCCTACCTCAGATGTTACTTTCTATATGAAGGCTTCGACGATGGACGTATCACTTACTGAATTACTACTATTTACTAAGCACATAAAGCTCTACGTGTGTTCTTTCATTTCAAATTAACAACAACCCTTAGTATCAGAGGAGGAGACAGTCTCACAGAGGATAAATAACTTGCCTACAGTCTCACAGTGAATGGTAGGTGGACCTGTGGGTCTGACTAAAACTTGCTGCCTTTGATTAACCACTCTAACTTGACCTCCACTTTATGCCTCTGTTTAGCTACCTTGAACCTCATTTGTTCCTCTCTTACAAACATGTATTAATTTGTACCTCATTTCATAGCTTTTAATTTGCACGTCAAATTTGTTAGTCACTTGGAAAATCTCTGGAAAATTCATGCTGCCTTTTCTATAGTAAGTGTTTACTTAATAAATGCTCTTGCCTGAATAGATGAATATACTATTCCCCTATTTGAAAACTTACTATTGTCTTTCTGCTATCTAGTTTATCATATATTACATATATTACATCTTCTGACTAAGACAAAAGTCCTTCAATAATCTGCGGCTTTAAAATTATATGGCTATGTCTTTTCTGAGGTATTATTTTCCATGATGCCCCAACATGCACCTGTTACTCTAATTAGGTTTGACTGTGCAATCTCTAAAACATAATGCTCCCCACCACCTCCGTCTTTCATTCCTGATGTTTCTCTTTTGTGGAATGTCACCTGCCTCTTCCAAAACCATATATTATTCTTTTTCCAAAGATCAGCTAAAAATACTTACAAATGCCTTCGATGAGCAAAACTAAAATTTTGATGATTATAAGATTATGTGCACACGTTATCTCATGTCTGTGTCAAACCTCCACAGATTCTAGAATCTTTACAGATTACACTGCAAAAGCTCTTACACTGCAAAGCTCTGAGCATACTTTAAAACACCTATTAGATACTTTAAATAATGTTAATGGGTCTTGTGAATTAAAGTTAGTCTCATATAAAGCAAATTAAAGCAGCGTACTGGCAAAAAACTAATAGTTTTTGAAAATAACTCAATTTTTGTGCCTACTATGTAGACTTATATGAAGTTACGCTTATTTTATCATTTCAAACTAAAATGCCTCTGAAACAATAACATGATAGGCTGAGAGGTTAAGAGGTGCTGTCTTAGTTAATATATATTGAAGTAAAGATTTTCCCTAATGCTTACTTCTCAAGGTGGAAAGAGCAGTTCATTTTACATCTTACATGACCTTGTTTTACCCACATGACTTATATTTGGCAAGAACAAATGCACACAGCAGCTGCATACAAAATAGAAATACTTTGTCAAGACAATTTAACTTTTGATAGAGATAGCCATTGGGTCACATAGGTTAACATGCGCACCAATTTAAAAATCTTATATATTCTGACTTTATAATTTTATCCTTTTTACACTTTGTGGTAGACTATACAGTAGTTCCAACAAAATAGTGAAACTGCATTTTAAAACGCGAGCTCTTGAGGAGGCAGAACATCATCCAGCTATCTTGTTTCTATGATTTATTTTCTCAGTTTGGTCCTTCTATTATTTCCTCACTAGAAGCTAAACCTGGACAGGAGGAGCAGATCTACAGGCCCAAATGGTCAGACTACGTACACCTACTTTTATTTTTCCTAAATAACCTGGTAACACCCTCCCAAGAAAAGGGCTAGTATTTATCCTTCAAACGCATTCCTTTTCATTCTACCTATGTTAAAAGAAAGAAAAACCCTAGCCCCTTCAACATGATATTTCATTAAGCAGAGTCAGGCTCAATGTAATTCTGAAAGGAATATCTGTCTAAACTGATTGATCTCATTGGCCTTCGAGAAACCTAGAAGCTCTAAAGAAAGTCAGGGTTTGGGTCACTGTGGAGGTGGAGAGATGAGAGGAAATTTCAGGGCACATACATTTCTGTGATGGTCTCTGGCAGATTCGTGGGGATCTCAGTGAGAGCTTTCCCACGACAGTCTACGATATTGTTGCTACACGTACAAGGAGCTGGACAGTGCAGAACACTGCAAGAAGGAGCCATAAAGGACTGGTGACCTGCAAGAGAAAGAGACGGCAATGATACTTTCCCTCCCGAAACCGCGGATCGTGAAACACATGAGCTTATCTCAAACAACAAAGCATGTTATTTAACACAAATATATTTCTCTAAATATCTGAGCATAAAATTGGTCCTGTAGTTCTAGGATATATTTTAGGCAGCATGCATTTATAGTTCTGGGCCAACACTCAGATGAAGCAAATGAGATTCTTAAAACTAATTATGAAAATGATCATTTTTCTGAGTCGAAATAATTGTTAAGAAAGGCTAACCTCAGACCTGAAACGAATTTGATTCAAAACTATTCTGAGTTCCAAAAAAAGCAGCAGTTTCAGACTAACCTAGATTTCACTTCCGATACGCTTAAGTAGAGTTTGGTTTTTATTAAACTTAAGTAGCATAACTTACTCTACCCTCAAAAAAAGAGAGGAAAACAGTAACATTTTCCTCTTGGAAGGTATAACTATTGGTTCCAAATAAGTAATCATGCACTAATAAATGAGGGGAAAATTAGATCTTGCTAAGTTGGATGTCTTGAGACGTTCAACATTTGTGCTTTCTTTGAAGTTATTATAATAATTTGTAACATGCCATTCTGTAATTGTTAATCTACATAGTTCTCTTATTCGGCTTCACATGGCCTACAACGTTAGCGTTAAGTAGTTACCTGCAGGTATATATTTTTACTACTCAGTATTTGGAAACAAAACTGTTTTGAAATGTGACGAACAACAGAATGTCGGCCGTGTTGTAGGAATGGGCATCTGCACACACTTGGCTACCGGAGCAAGGGGACAGCCCTCTCTGATCTGCAGCAAGAGGGCCTGAGCGGTCACGTAGGCCAGGAAGACACTGCAGGCTCCTTACTAACCCAAGCCCTCTGAACATGCTCTCAAACTTTACAAAAAATAGTCTCAGTCTAAAAAAGAAAGGTGAACTTGCCTTCTTCCTCATCTAGAAAACAGGAAGGGAAAAGTGAAGAGAGAAAAAAGTGGTTAGTAACGAACTGTTAGTCATTTCATTATTTAATTTTTTTAAAAAGCAATCAGACCTGAAGAGAACATTCCCATTCCATGACATTATAGGAAAATTTTGTCTGGGTTATAAAAAGTGTGGAAAAATATATTAAAAGTTCTAAAAGACAACAATAAATCAGAATCCTCTGCAAGTACTTCTTCTTGCACCTCCTTTAAGGAATTATTTGTGATGCATTACGTATATTTAAAAATTTTGTGTTATTGTATTTTGAACAGACACTTCTGAAGCAGAGCCAGTCCTGTATTTATAAAATAAGATATATGTTAATATGTATCAGATACTATTAACATATTATTTTATAAATAAATATAAATATAAACATAAATATCAATATATATGCATTGGTAACCAGACTGCCTACGTTGAGATCCTTTGACTCAGCTATGTGATCTTGGACAAGGCTACTTAGCATCTTTTTCTCAGCGTTTTCATCCCTAGTATAAAGATAATATTACATTTCACTACAGTTGTGATGAGGGAGGTGAAATGAGGTACATATATATGAAATACCTAGATAGAAAGAACTAAGTGAATGTGACTTCCTGATATTTTACATAGGATGTGCCTTATTTTTATTTCCAGATTTTTATCACTAAAGCTAGTCATTTATCTCTTAGAAGTTGACGTGAACCACTAGTATTCACGAAAAGTACTTTGCCACTCTGCAACTACAGTTGAGCTACTTTTTTAAAATTTCCCAGCAGGGATCCAGGATTAACCATATTTCCAATTGTTAACAGAAAAGCAGATGGACATTATTACTTAATGGGAAAATAAGCAGCAAACAGAATTAAAGTCTAGGAATTTCCTTGATTTCCCCAGGAGTAAAAATTTAGAAATCTTTCATCCTCACTTCAGAGGACCCTGTCCTTGCCAATCATGCACACATATCTTAGAACCTATTCTCAACGTCACTAAAAACGAGGACTCCCATGGAGTGATTAGTGCACAATTGCACACGTTAGTGAGCAACACGGAAACTCTGAGAGCATGCATTCTCCACAGTTCTCCGTAAAATAAGATGACAACGTAAAGGTTCATTCTCCCTTACCACTGCAGACAAATTCGCGTTTTTGCACCTCAGCTACGTTATGGCCCCGCAGGTGGGACGGGCCCATACACTGAGTGTAGAGACCAACCCGGGGCCTCTGGCGCAGCCAGTCAGAAAGCCAGGCCAGGTGGCAGTCGCAATACAGATTGTTCGAGTGCAGTCGACTAGAGAAGGAAAAGACAAGTTTAAAGCAAGAAAACAGAAAACAGTTACTCCAAAAATTGAAAAAAAAGTCTTAATAATAATCTATAGCTTTATTTCTTAACATGTCAGTAGACAAAGCATAGGAAATTCCAACCTAATCAGTTTTCTAAAAATTAAACTGGTGTACAACCGCAGAATCGAGTTTCTCTTCATTTGCCTCTGAGCTAAGCCAACATCCAGGAGCTTGGACATGCCCATAAGAATGGTTTCTCTATGTTCACTCAAAAGGGTAAGAAGAAACAGAGATGTCCAAGGCAAATTGCTCTGCAGTCCCAATATACTGACAGCCAGTTGGGGTGGTAGGGGAAAGGAGAGGTAATAGGTGGGGCAGGGGTGGGGGCATGTTAATAAAAGTTGTGGCTCCCAATATGAATTATCAGTTAGTCCTGCTGTTGTTAGTTTCTGGAGGAACTGCTTGCAAAATCTTTTTAGAGGGTCACTTTCGTTTTTTGCGGAACAAGATAGAATAATAATTCAATATAAAACACTTCTTCCATGTCCCTATTCTGATTTCCTTCTTTTTGTTTAATAGCAGAAAAAAGGGATTAGCTGCTTTTGGCTCTTGGGACCCTATCCTCAAAGAGCAGGAACTGAAATGAAAAGACATAAATGGCTGGGAGTGAAGGAATTAAGTGAGCCCCCCTCTCTGTGTTGGCAGGGATCCACACCAGAGCATGGATCCATTCCAAGTGGCAAATAGCACTTTTCCATTAATAAAATATCAGACAAATGTATCCACTAAATTAGGTAAATGACTTCAAATTGGCTTTTATGTTTTCTCAAACTAAAGTAAAAGGACATCCAAAGCTATAAATCAAAGCATCATTTCCAGAATCATCTATGACACAGTAATACCATTTTAGTCCTTTTTAGCTGATGTGCTCAATTCTAACCCAATAACAGTAATGGATATTAAAACATGGAACTCAGTCCAGAAAGATAATTGGACCATAAAAATGGAATTTTTAAGTAGCAATGATAATATAGAATAATGAAACAACCAAAGCAAGGGAATTTCAAGTTAGATGACTGTTTTACATTCTCCTTGAGCCTGTAAGATATGGAACAGACTGTCTTGCATCAAAACTTAGTGTCTGACGTGCCACAGAACAAAAAGCTACATTTTGTGAAAGTTGGGTGACCTCCAGCTCAGTTTGCTTGGAAGTCAGAGTGGCATCCTTTGGAAACCACATAGCACACGCCACCTCATTGTTCTAGAAATATTTTCATCTGAACCAAGCATGTTTACAATGATTCAATTCGGTGTGCGCAAATTTGAAGTGAGAAAAGAACATAAAACCTGATTAGCAAGACAAACTGTGATGGATTTCTAGGAAATCCTAGGAAAATAGGCACATTATCAGAAATGCAGATGATAGACACTTCCACATTCTTAGTGGCCTCGCTTTTGACACTAAAGAGGTTGTTCACTGTGCGTTTTTAAAAAAAAATTAGCTTAAAGTCAATGATTAAGAAACAAATTTCACAAAATATAGTCTGAGTGAACTGGTCTATTCATTTGGTCAGATTAGGCACACCAAAAAAATAGAATTTATGTCATACCTGCACACTTTCAGAATTCCTTTATTTTGTTAAATCTTATTCCAAGGAAATGATAATGATGTGTAGTATCATACATAGAACATCACATTTTAGTGACAAAAAAAGAGGACATTTAGATTGGCATTACCCATTAAAAAGCTGGCAATTAAATGTTTTTTCATTAACGAGAAAAAATAAATGTAATATGTTTCGTTATAAACTACAGTAAACTGAAAATTATTTTGAAACCCAATCAGCACATATTTTTTTCAAGAAGCTCAATGCTTTGCTTACGTTTCCCACCATTTCCCACGTGTTGTATATAACATATTTTTGAGGACAGGGTGATTCTTAAACCCAGATCAAATGAGATTTATCTCTGAAAATGCTTTAACTAACTATCCCCCACCCTGGGCTTTAAAGTTAATTTTCCTCCAAGAGAAAAAAAATAGCTGTAGAAAATGCTTTATTAGAGAACAAGTTTTTATCCACCTAAAATATTTTAATGTTCATCTCCTGAAAAGATATTTTTAAATATAAATGCTGCCACAACCTTCGTTATAGACGGACTGGAGGGTTATGCTGTAATTTAACATTACAAAGAATGTAGGAGATTCAGTTTAGCTTTATTAGGTCTGCTTGCTGTACAGTAATAAAATCATAAAGATTTACCATTTATCATTTCTGACAGCCAATCAAGGAGTCTTACATTTCTTAATGAAATGTGACCTCCACAATAGCTCAAAGTAAACGTTCCCCCCCAACTTCCCATAATGCGTATCATTTAAAAGAAAGCTTTCATGTTTTCAGAATGATCGTTCATTTATTCAAATATCATATCTAGCACTTTTTAAAAAAGTGGTGTTTTCCTTCTTTACCCCATTATGAACTCATGAATCCTGTTCTTTGTTTACAAAAAATAGTACTTTAGAAGAACCCTTAATTGATTAAATTGACCTTTATATATATATATGTATATATTGTGGCTACTTACAAAGTCCTAAGTTTAGGCATATGGTTGAAACTTGCCACAGAAAGTCTAGTAATGTTGTTATTGTTGAGAGTGCTGTAGAATAAAAAAAAAGTTAGACATTTTAGATAATGAAAATTCATTGATCATTCTATCTAATAATATAGAGAAAACCCTTTGCGATTATGGTTATGCAGGACAACTATGTGGTAGAGACGGCATAAAGAATGCCCTATAATATAAGCAAGATGATAAATGTTATACTTTAACACATTGCTATGCATTCAGCTCTATCAAATATTTATGGCAGATTTATGTCTTTAGCCATAATATTTTTGACTATTCACATGTTGCTTTATGCACCATGTGCATGAATGCATGTGTATTTATGACACTGCTTAAGGAATTAACACGAGACACTCAACAGTCAGTAAAATCAGACAGTTGCATTTCCTTAGAGGGGCACTGCGTGTAATTAGAGTCATGAGTAAATGAAGATATTCAAAATCTCCAAAGAGTCCTGCTAAGTATTCTATACTGTGGACATTGGCCGCACCGCTGCTGTAATTTGAGTAGCAAGAATGATATCTGTATCTGGTATTTGCATTTCATAGGGATAAAGTGTCAGGCTGTAGCAGTTTATTAAAAGCTTAATACATTCTAACAGTTTTACATCCCAGGCACATATCTTGTCCTTTGCTTACTGTGGTGTGGTAGTGATCCCGGTATCTTGATGCTGGAGTCAAGAAGATGGGTGGTCAAGGCAGAGATGGTGAAAATAAGCATCATTCTCGCTTGGTTCAAATTGTTCCTACTTTTCCCCTAACACAGGCATTGTTTGTTGTATTCTTTTTGCTATTTCTACTATGACTACTACCCATTCATTCATCTAGTATTTCCTAAATGGCTCTTAATTTTAGGGCAAGGAATGGTATAAAAATAAGTCAGGCATAGTACCTGTCTTAAAGTAGCATATAGCCCAACTAGGGAGATGAAGTACACAAATTATAAAAACTTAGAGTTAATGAGATTAAGAAGAGGTTTTTTTCTTTCTTTTTTTTTCCCCTCCCTTTGGGGAAGTCAGGCTGTGACAAGAAAGGGAGAAGACAGCTACCCCAGGGCTGCGATTGTGCAGGGGCAAAGAAGCAAAATGATTCTAGTAGAGAGAAGACAGCATGGCGGGGTGAGGGAAGCGTGCAAGTCGCTGAAGGAGGCAAGACGCCAGGATCCATGGCCGGTGGATGCCATCTGATAATGGAGAAAGGTATGCAGTAGACTTTGCAAATTCTCTTGCCAGTGGAAGCCGGGCAGGGAACATAAAAGTAGAGAAACAGGTTGTATGTACAGAAACAGAACACAGAATGGGGAAGAGAAATAGAGAGGAGCAGGCAGAGAGCTGGGGACGAGGAAGAGCTTGGTGAGCTGGCGATGATACTCTGTGCTGTACCAGCTACTACTCAGCTCTGATGGGCAGCCGCTCTGCTGTAACGGGAGGCTGCCAAACAATCGGATTTTCCCCGGAGAAGCCAGAAATGGAAAATTTCACCTCTATCCTCCCAATTTTTAAATACTGGCAACTAATTCAGATATTTCAAAGAGTCTGCAGACTGAGTCTGTTTGGACTGAGCGAGATAGGTTTGCCAGGCCACTTTTGGCCAGCTGGAAGCTGCAGTTGTTACTGGTGTGATTTGGGGTGCTGGGGGGCACTTAAACTTCTCAGCGAAGTAGCACACGGTGGCTACAGATCTAGAACACACAGACTTTCTTTCTTACCCAGCTTTGCCATGTATTGAAGAATAGAAGAACGAATCCAAGTGATTTGAATTAAGTTGCTTAAGAAAAAAACCCCCACTTTATGAAGGACCTAAAAAGCCCTGAATTTGTTGGCTCATGGCTAAAAGCCTGTAGCATTTTTCTGTACTCAAGTGAAATGAGATTTTTTTTCAAATGCCATTAAAATATATCCTGATGTTTGAACTAAAAGGTTTCACTTCTCAAAGGGATTTGCTTTCAAATCACCCCTTTTCCCACCCTCAAAACTTATGCTGACTTTATATGGCTAAAATCTTTAGAGTGCATAACATACTGAAATGTGTCTTTAGGGATAACATTTTTTCAAAAGTAATTCACATGCAGCAGACATGCATTAATTTTGAACTATAATTTCTTATGATTCCACACAAAAGAGAGTTTTAATTGAATGCGGAAACTGGTGTCTAGAAGTTTGGAGTCTTTTCTCAAAATGCTAGTTTGCATAACACAACTTAAGAAATAAATTATCTTAGTGTTTTTTATTCAGTATTGATGCTGGCAAAACAATATGTATGTGGAACCAATGAAATTAAATTATTTTAAAAGTAATAATAAATATGTGTTAATTATGTATGGTGTCAGGTATCTGTTACGGTCATGATCGATTCCTACTCTGAAACAATGCAAATTTATCTACTGTACTTCTTTATTTGTGAACACTTTCTCCTATATGAAAGTGTATTTCTATGTTCAACTTCAAGATTTTCTCTTTGTAATGAGAATATATTCTTCTACAAAGGATATCTTTATGTGTAAACACAAAATATGAGTCTTGGTAGTCATGTAGGTCCTCTCAGACCTAGATCTTGATTTATTCCTTTTTTATTCCCTTAGTGCTCAGCACAGTATTTGGCAGAGAGTCTGATATTTTTCAGATATGAATCTCTACATCTCAATTAAATGAAATTATGCCTATTTTACGGGAAAAGAAAAAAAATACAAAACTAGCAACTTAAGGAACGTATTTCATTTCTGAATCTGCTGTCTAAAGAAACAGAAAACATTGATCTAGATTTAGTTTCCAATGTTATTTTTGAGATGGTATCTTCATATTAAAAGGATAAACATTTTTTTTTAAAGAAACACTTCTGAATCGTGCCAATCAGAATTCCACAATTTGCCAGGTTTCCATGAACATACAAGTCATAAACTGCCTTCCCTTGCTTTCATTTACCTGGACTTCTCCTTCTTAAACTTTATTCACTCTCTCTACCCTAATATATATCTTAATTTAACAAAGTTTCATCTGTGGCCCAGGATGATTACTTCCATTTTCTCTTGTTTTGCCTCAGTGTAATCATACATTCACAAATGGCTCATGGAACCAAAAATTTAAAAAAAAACCTGAAACATTGGGACTCTAAATTTAAGGTGGTGTGCAAATTAATTAATCCTTCATTAGTTCCACATAAAAAGATATATTGTAAAGAGTCATACATGGTAAAAATAAGCAAAACAGACAACTTTCTTTCTGGAACCTTCTATAAAAAAAGCCCCCAACCAAAGTCTACAATAGAAGAACTTTTGATTTACTTGACAAGAGATTTGGGCTTGATAAATCCTAGTCTTTTGAATACTTTATCCAATTAGCCTTAAATTTTTCATCAGTTAATTTCTTTAAAGGTTGTATGAACTACGAGGATTTAAAAAATTAACACATAGTAAAAGAATGTCTGCTTGACTATCAAATTTTGATATAAAATATTTAAGTCATTTCAAAAGAAATTCACATTTTCTTGTATCATGTACTGATTTTAATTATTTCTTTTTAGCAAACTCTCACCATTATATATCTCTTTGAAACCTATGTATTAAGGTCCTCAAAAGAGTTCCCAACACTGTAGATTTTGATTTTAACTCCATGAATCATAAGACATTTTTCACTCTTTGGTGTGTTTCAAGATAGTAGTTTCAAGTCATCTTTTAGATATTTTGCTAACATGACAAACACAGTGTATGCGGCGATTGTGTTTTCATGAACTTACTCTTCTAAAAACAGTGATATTAATTTATAACAAATAAGCAGATGAATCAAATGAATAGTTACTGTTTTGTGGGTAAAAAATTTTCAATGCCCAGCACAGTGCTTGGGTATATGTATAGCTCTCTCTCTCTCTCTCTCTCTCTCTCTATATATATATATATATATACACACACACACACACACTCAATATATACTCAATATATTATGTATATGAATTATTTGATATCTAATAAGTATTTAAGCTCTTTTTATTAATAACAAAGTACTTACGGATTTTAGTCCATCCAAAATATTCAGCAAATTTTCCATAAAATTTTTGGTGTCATTCCTATTCCTAGTTAGAAGCACTGACTTAGTAACACATTTTTGGCTTGATCAGCTCAATTCAATTAAGTAACACCCACGGTAGTCTCTTCATATACCAAGTTTATGACTTTGACTATGGTTTTGACATCAGACTACTATCATGAAATCAAAGTTGTATCTTAATTATTCTGACTCTGAAATAGCAAAGTGAGCTTTGTATATTAATGGGTCTGGAACACACACAAAAAAGTGGCCTTATAACTACAATATGATAAGCACTCTGAATGTTTTTCCTAGAGAAAAAGTTAGACCGTTTTCAACAGAAATAAAGGTGACTCGTCATGGGGATAGACAACAGTATATAGTCTTAAAACAGTTTATCTCAATCAACTAATTCTTATATGTTAACTCCTTAAAAATAATCAGTAACTTTACACATGATGCAGCTAGAAATTCTAGGCATTTACTTGCAATTGAAATCAAAATCATATAGAAAATATTGCTAAAATAAGCCATCTTGTCGAAACATCAAACTTTTTTCAGAATTACATTCTGTTCCTCAAACTCAATTTCGGAATCTTTTTTTTTCAGGAGGATTTCATGATTCCTAGATAACTTTTACCACGTGGACTAAAAATTCAAAACCTCTCCAAATTTAATTCGGTTTTGGATTCTGAATAAATTTAGTCAGGGATGAATTGTAGCAGAGAAAAATATTTTACTTGGGGGAGAAATCTGCAAATATATTTTAAATGAATCTCTGGCTGGAATGAAATCCCAGAAATGTACAGGCGACTTCAAACACTTTGGCAACTCCAGTTTACATTAAAATTATTTTTCATCATCATAATTTCATTAAAACTATTTTACCAAGTCAAAGGTCTGTAGAGATTACTCAGTTGTCTCTAACCCATTTTGTCAGCCACATCTACCCAGCAAGGAAAGAGAGAGGATGCCATTACAATTCAGATCTGCGTGCTGTGCTTTATTAAGTCAGTAGTGAAGACTTTAAAATGGACCCAATGGGCAGTCAAAATCGCCTTTCAAAAATGATGTTATCCGGTTAAAAATGACATCTTAAAATGAGAAAACATCTTTCGATTGCATGGCAACTACAAATTTTTCCAACTTATCAGCGACTAAAGAGGTCTATTTTTTGTTGTTGTCATTTTCCCGACACACCTGATTTTATCTTAGTATTTAAAAATTCTAGGAATTCTCACAAATCCTGTGACTGAGAATATTTTGTTATAAGGAGAAACACGTAAGGGACAGTATTGTGAACATCTGAATGTCCTCCTGCAAGAGACGTTTTTACCTAAGCATACAGAAATGATACCCACGGCTGTGGGCACACACATTTTAAGTCTTCTATGTATCCCCAGGAGTTATTAAGGTATCTTTATAAGAGACCATTTTGACACAAGGTTTTGAGCTAGCAGATAAGCTCCCACATCAGCACTCCCCAGACACAAAGCTCCCGTTCAAAAGAGTAAGAGAAAGAAGCAACACTTACAGCACTTCCAAGTCCCGCAGAGCCCTAAATGCCCCATCTTCAATACAGCTGATCTGGTTGTAATCCAGTTGCCTGTAAACAGATTAGAAGAATATATGTAAAAGGCTGAAGACTAGCAGGGCTGGGTGAAAGGAAGTTCCCTGAAGGGTCTAGGAAACCCTGGCTGCGAGAACTGAAATGCTCTCACAAATACACTCATCTGCTTAAGAATGTCACAAGCCATTCTGGCCTCGCTGGTGCCGCTGGTGCCGCTACTGAGATCTCTTTTTGTTCTGAACTGTCTGTGCAAATAGCAGCCCTTGGAAAGCTCCAGTAAATAATAACTGCACCTTATATTAAATGCCATAGGAATGCAATTTCATTACATCAAGAAAAGCTATCCATTAAGAGCTTTCAGCGTCATCTTGCTGAAACAATTTCATTAAGGTAAAGGACTGTAAATCACTTAATGTCACATGCACCCCCTCAGTGACCTAACAGAATCCATTTATCAGAGAAGCCCAGCTGCATGTTAATTTCACTATCCTTGGCAAAAAAGAGCAAGACTACTTTTAGGTTTCTTTCTTTTAAAAGCAGTTTTCCTTTGAGAACTCCCAACAGCGAGAGAAAAATGAGGTCCCATGTACCTCCCTGCTATTCCCAACCAGGAATACACTTTAGAAAGCGAGCCCTTGTTCTTCTTTAAGCTTCGCTATTTCCATGATTTGCACCGTGTGTCATTATATGTGAATTCTTTGCACTGTAAATAAGGCATACTTTCCAGTTAAGAAACTCCCCAAATTTCCAGAAAATAAGTTATAAAGCATTGAGAAATTAATCTTTTTGCTTTTCTCAAAGATGCTAATTTTAGCTGCAAATGCAAAGAATGCATACTGCAGCAATATCATTAAAACACTACATGTATTTATGGTAGAGAGTTTAAAAGCTTTATCAGTTCCTTCTAAATAGTACAAAATGCAAACAAATGAATCTTCTCTTGTAGTTTGAGCACTCATTTGTTATAATTCAAAGATGAAAAGACAAAGTTACTCCAAACTTGGTTAAGTCAGCTTTTCCCTGCCACTTGTTTTGGAATTAAAATTTCCTTTATCCATGTTAAGGCATTTATTTGGTTGAAATAAACAGCTAAGTACTAAGTCTTATCTGTCCTATCTTTATGCTATTTTAAATTCTTTTTTTAACAAATAAGCAGTTGTTGTTTAAGTCTAGTAGCTTGATGCTTAACGATATTATTATTCCAGTAAAGAAAAGTATTTTAATGCTTCACTTGAGACAAAAACAAAATGCTTGATGAAATAGTCAGGTGAGTTGTCAGTTCTCCATGCACTGGGAGGGAATACAGATATACAGGGCTAATACTATGATCATAATACAAATGAATCCTGTCCTTGTTTCAAGTGCAAAATTCACCAAAAGGGCTAATTCACGTTTGAGGTGTGTTCTTATAGAATTGTTTCAACATTCCCGTAAAATAATGGTTTCTCTCACAAGGCTACTGACTAAAGGTGCAATGATTTAATCCAGTGACTTTCAGAGGGCCCTCTTCAAAATCCTTACTTTAGAAATTATGTACATGGAGAATGTCTCATGAAATATACATCTTATTTTTAAGAAGGTCTCCAGGGGACAGAGACTACCCTGATGTCATGCAAATGGTACAATCTAGGACATGCAAAGACCAACTCTGGAAAAGATATGGGTTTATTGCTTTTATAGACTAAGGCTTTCCCCAAATAATAGGTGCCATCCATGCTACTGTAATAGCTTAAAGCATTTCTACTTATTAGGAAGTAATGCAGAAGGATAATTTTATTTTCTAAGAAGACTTTTAAAGCTTCATGATGTAATATGGCTGCTGTGGTTCCAAGAAAACACTTACATTCTTGAGCACTTTTGATTTTTACAGATTAAATTCATTTAACAATTAAGTTAACAGCCTTTTTATTTTAAAGTGCTAAATATATATCTATACTACTATTCTCTAACCTCTTGAACAATTTATCAAAGCCATTTAAATTAGTACAATGGCATGAAGTGTTACCCTTGACACACTACAAAAGAGAAATTGTTTCCAGACAAATTGGCAAAATCTTTTAATGCTATCAAATTTGCCTAATGCAGTCTCCAGGTTAATCTGTAAAAGGGTGAGCTGTATGTTTGCCCATATCTTATTATCCTTAGCTGTCAATGTATAAATCAGTGCTGACACTGCTTCTTTTAAATCATGCATACTATACACAAAGGGGAAGCCCTAGCATGCTAGAAAGCACTCAAGCAAATCTTGTTCTACAGGGACTGAAAACCAGATTACTTTCCCTATACCACTAGAAGTTGAGACACTGCTGGAAACTTTGGTAATTTCACCCCTCTTCAACATTGCCCGTGGTTACATGCTTCTTCTGATTCTTAACAGAAATCTAAGTCCTTCTCGGTGCCAAAGCATTAAGAATATTTGGCTCTCATAGGACAAAAGTTTTCCTTAAAAGTTTTCTGAATGCCATCCTGTCTCAGGACATCGATCTTCTGAAAACATAGGTATTGTGTGAAAAAGTTACTTCTATGAAAGGGCAATCAAAATGAATAATTTTTTCATCAACTGGTGGATTTCGTTATATTGAAAGGAATGTTTAAGGAAAGTGTTGTGCCCACTTTGACCGCTCATGAGAAGATCTCACTGCACAAACCTCCATTTGTCTGTATATGGTTCAAGATAGTGTCAAAACCATGCAAAAGAATACTTTATTTCACGGATTCTGGACTATTTTTCTGTACCTTGTTTCTCTCACCCAGTTCACTTCCTTCTCTACTACCTTTCCAATTCTGGGCACTTCTGCTTTCTGTAAAGAGGAAAGGATCTGTTCTCAGCCATGCATTTAGTGACAGGCTGATTCTGTTTAGATGTGATTTCCAATTGTGCAATGAAATTATTCTGAATTAAGGCATCAGTAAGAGGAGAGTTTTTTTTTTTCACTTCTCCAAAAAGTAATATTACATTTATTCAGCCAAACATAGGGTACATTTGTTGATCTTTGGATAATAAGGGCACTAAGGTACATTAGGGACAGCTTCAGGATCCTTTCCTGGTACAGGGGTCACATCCCACGGGGAAGCAAGCTAGCACTTTTCTTATTTTCTGGAGAGAAAGAATCGTGTAGATAGTATTATTGGCGACTTCTTTTAGACCTTCAGCCGACGTATCCTAGCACAGAATTTTGTGGCTTCTCTTCTATATTTCCTACCTCCAACCTCCTCTGTTTCTGTTTGAATTCCAAATTCCATCTCTATCTGATCCTTCACTGTCTTAGTTTGTAAGTGTGTATTCTGAAGCAAGTGTTTATCTTTAATTTCATGAAATTGACGATATTAAAAAGAATAGAAACATTCAAGGTCTCTTGCAGCATTAACATTCTATGATTCTCTTTTCATTGGTCACTACTTTTCTTATGTTGTCCTAGAATAACACTAGATTGCTCGTTTTAATTTTTCCTAGTCCTGGTAAATTTAGTCTTTGATAACGCAGCATCTCTTTATCAAGAGGTGTTACTCTGAGCCTCGCAAACATGAAGTTTCTAAAGCAGATTTGATTTTCTGAAGACAAAAAATGATTTAGCCTAGTTTCAGATTTTGATTAATTCTAGGTGTGAGAAACAATATATAATGCTGCTAAGTATAAATTTTAGAAATAAGCATATTAAATAAAAGAAAGGTTGGGCATTTGCTTACTTGGCATCCTGAAATATAATCGGGGATACTACATTCTGTTACTTTTTATGCCTTTTTCAGGGATTTCCTGTTTTCAGTTATTAAAATTTGGATACATACTGTGTTTGAATTACATATATAAAACTCACCTTCCTGAATTAACTTCATTTGGTTTTGTCCTTACCCATAGAAAATTCATGTTGCACTGCAGGGTCCAAGTAATAAGATCTTATTACCAACTGATTTTCTTTTTGTAAGTATTAGAACACCATAAAATTTACTTAGCTCTGAAACAATACTGAACATAAAAAGTCTTTAATAACTTTAAAGCCAGGGGCGCCTGGGTGGCTCAGTCGGTTAAGCGTCTGACTCTTGGTTTTAGCTCAGGTCATGATCTCAGGGTCGTGAGATTGAGCCAGTGTTGGGCTCCGAGTTCAATGTGGAGTCCGCATGAGATTCTCCCCCTCTTCCTCTCCCTCCCTCTCTGCTCCTCTCCCCACTTTGTGCTCTCTCTCTCTAAAATAAACAAATAAAATCTTAAAAAAATAACTTTAAAGCCAGACAGAGTCTCTCAGTATTTCAACAAAAGTATTATAACTATGCTCTGGTTCTCCAGGGTTTTTTAGGTACTAGAAATAGAAGTTTAGTTCATATTCATATTACTATAAATGGCAAACTTCAGAAGTTTAGTTGACTTAAAATAATATATCAAAGTGATTAGAATCAATAGGAGGGAGTAACAACATTTTGCCATTTGGAAAGAACCCCGGTAAAACATATAAATCAGATGGGAGAAAAAAATGTTGTTAAGGATATGGGCATAATCTGTTCTATTTCTTCCCTTGTGTGCATAAAATTCAAGTTAATATGAGTGCGTAAATACACAAATCTTATGCCAATAATGACTCTTTAAGAAGAAGTACAAGATTTAAGTTATAATGGATAAAGAACATAAGAATAATATAAATTGATCCATATGAATGAACACCCTAGGTCGAAGTTTCAGCAACTATGTCATTTAACCTCAGCATAAAAGCACATCGGCACTAACCCAGGTATGAGTGAATAAAACGGCCAAAATAAGGTCTATCCCCTGAGGAATGCAAAATAATTTGAGAATTTAGCCCTTTTGCAATCTTTCAAGCAAAATGTTGTGGGTTTTGTTTTTTGTTTTTGCATAGGAATAAAGAATCTCCGTTTTTATTGGAATAACCTATGGTATAAAGTTATATCCACTTGCTAATTTATTAGGGAAAAGCCAAAGGGTAAGCTCTAAGAGATATGGTACCAGAAAATGGAGGAACAACAATTAAGTAGCCCTTTATGTTCTAGTAGCTCTTGTAAACTAATCAAAGGTGGTAGAAACTGAA